AATGGATGCCCATTGACTAAAGAAAAACTGAACTGGTCATGGAATATGAATGCAATGGAATGCTATTGAACTGTAAGAAGATATAAATAGGAGGAATTCAGAAAAGTATGAGAAAAGTTGTATGAACTGATACAAAGAGTGTAAGTATAAAGTAGTCAAGTAGGGAGCTCTATGGGAGTATACAACTAATTACCTGATCCATAGAAGCAGTAAGGAGGACCCAGGTATATATTGGTGTCTGTCATCCCCTAGCTCCATCCTCTACCTTATATAGGCATCCCTAATTTTATTGTGCTTCAAAGATACTGCATTTTTTACAAACTGGAGATTTGTGGCAACCCTGTGTCAAGCAAGTCTGTCTGTGCCATTTTTCCAATAGTACATGCTCACTTTGTCACATTGTTGTAATTCTTGCAATATTCCAAACTTTTTTCATTATTGTTGTATTATTGTAAAATCATTGTATTAATTCTCTTTGTGTTCTGTGAGAACTGTCTAGGACTTCAGTGGGTCATGCCTGCCAGCATCAGATCAAACTCCTTAGGGCTTTTTGCCTGGACCAAAAATCAGCCCTCTACCCAGAATCTTAGGGTGAAAAATGTTAACAGCGATGACTTACAATATTTGGCCCAGCATACTTTGAGCTAACTTAATAATAACAGTTGTGAATCGAAGCTGGTAGAGCTATATATGTATTTCCTAGTACTGTTAACATAAAATTAAGTGCATGCTTATGTTGTGAAATTTGGTAATACCAACATAGTTAGAAAAATTACTTCTCTTGTAATTTGCATACTGTTAGGTTGTTATTTTATAAACTGAGTTGTTAAAGAGTTGCCTAAAAACTACCATTTTTGTTGAGTGTTTTATTTCAGTAGGATTATAATAATGGTTTCAAAACTTTTCTTCCTTGTTTTATGGGATGATATATTTGACACTTATTATTTGACACTGTTATAAATTTATTTCAGCTCTGCTGGTGATATGGTATAAGTTCTATAATGCTGAAATCTGAAAGCTTTGAGATTCAGAGGTGAAAGAGGTGAAAGGGCTAGTTTCACACCTACCTAGAATGGGAAAGTTTACAAATCAGCTTTCATGAAGCACTTAAGTTCCACCTAAATTTGTTTAGCTGTATTAAAGCTACATCTTAATTTGGTAGCAAATTCTTTCATCTTCTAGAATTATGGGTATGTCCACTACGTGAATTTTAAATGTGCCTTTCAGCTATACTGGCATTAACAAGGTTTTCATTATAAGAATAGAGGGGAAGGGTGACCTCAGGGATTTTAACCCAGCATTTTAACCCATCCCATAATTTACTGCTCTTGCCTGGGATGACTGCTGCTACCAGGCCCCTTATCTTGGAAAACTCCAGAATGTGGTTACTGAGAGAATGGGATGCCTAATACTTCTTTACTAAGTTTATATTATAGTAGTGGTTTATGGGTGATTTATTATTATGAAATTTATAGTTATACCTGAGATGCTATATTTTGAAGTTACATCTTGAGTCAACCAATCTTAGAAGGCTCCGGTCTTAGAGACTTAATGAAGAGGTCAATCTACAGGCAGGTAGGTGGCGCAGAGGATAGAGCACAGGCCTTGAAGTAAGTATCACCCAAGCTCAAATCAAGCTTCAGACAACTTCCTAAGCTGTGTGACCCTGGGCAAATCACTTAACCCCAATTGCCTCCAAAAAAAAAAAAAAAAAGAGGTCCGTCTACAATACTTATTCTCAGCAATATGAATGATAATAACTGAATCCAGCCCTAAACTTGGTGTTTAAAATCAAATCTTATGGGACTGTAATTGATATTATTTCAATATTATTCCAGGTATAATTGTTGGGGAATGCCATTAAACCAAAGATCCATAATGCCAGCAGCCCTATAGGGTTGACATATCTGAGCTAAGGTGGAGCTTTGTCTCAGGGAAAAGTGGAGAGAGTGACTTTTGGCATGGGCAGAGGTTTGTTGTTCAGTTGTGTCTGACACTTCAGATCCCACTTGGGGTTCTCTTGGCAAAGATACTGGAGGGGTTTGGCATTTCCTTCTCCAGCTCATTTTTCAGATGAGGAAACTGAGGCAAACAGAGTTAAGTGACTTGTCCAGACTCACACAGCTAGTAAGTGTATAAAGCCAGATTTGAACTCAGCTCTTCCTGACTTCAGGCCCAGTACTTTATCTACTACACCACTTAGCTGTCCCAGAGGTAGGACTCTCCTGACTTAATTTCCTCAGTATGACATTTTCTCTTGAATGAAAAATTTTCCCACCTGGCTAAAATTCTAAGCCTGGCTGTGACATTCTGTCCATTCAATTGGCTGCCTATATGACTCTTGCCTGGAATTGTCATCAAGGTAGGGGAGCATGTTCCCCTTACCATAACTATGTCCCTCTTTTTCCTTTTATGGCAAATTTTCCAGCATAGCAAGACATTCTATACCTTTAACCTTTATAATCACTTCTATTTGAGCACCTATGTGTCCAGGTAGAACAAATCCAGGAACCAATCAACAAGTATTTATTAAGCACCTATTATGTTCCAGGCATTATGCTACATCCTAGGGATATAAGAACATAAAAATAAAAGCCTTTGCTCAGAAGGAGTTTGCATTCTAGTAAGGTAGAAAATATGTACATGTCTAAGTAGAGTCAATAAGTACAAAATGAAAGGGCACTATGACCTTCTAGGGGAAATCAGGCAAGGCTTCATATAGAAGATGGTACCTGAGCTGAGTTTTGAAGGAAATGAAAAATCCTATGAACTGAAGGTAAAGAAGGCCAGGCATAGAAGGCAGCCAGTACAAAGTCTTAAAAATGGGAGATGACGTACTATATATGAGTAACAAAGGGAAGACCATTTTGGCTGTATTGTAGAATTTAGAAAGTTCAGTCATGTAAAATGAGACTGGAAAGATAGGTTAGGACCAGGTCGTGAAGTGCTTTAAAAGCCAAAGTAGGCAGTTTGTATGTGATCCTATATGTATGTGATCCTGGGGAGCCACTTGAATATCTTGAGAAGGGGACTGACATGGCCAGATCTTTACATAAGGAAAATCACGTCAGCCGTGTGGTAGATGGATTGAGGTGGAGAGAGACTAGAAATTAAGAAGTCATGGCAGTAGTCCAGACAAGAGGTGATGAGCGTCTGAATTAAGATGATGGTGAGTAATGAGAAAAGAATAGAGACAGTGATGATATTTGTTGGTGTGGATCTTCAGGGTCTAGGTCAGCCCCTGCCTGAAAAATGTTGAAGAAGAGAGGAAGGAGGAGGAGGAAGAGGAGGAAGATGAGGAAAAGAAAGAGGAAGAAAAGGAGGAGGAGGAGGAGGAGAAGGAGAAGAAGAAGAAAGTGAAGGTGGTGGTGGTGGTGATGGGGATGGGGATGATGGTGAAGATGAAAATGTTCAGCAAAAAAGAAACTCTTTAAACTAAATAGATTCACAAGAACTACAACTTTAAGAGAAAAACATTTTCTGTGACCACTAGGTGGCACACTAGGAACATACAGACTGACCTGGTCCTCTAAAGATATCAGCAATCCTGCCCTGTGGATTGCCATTCACCCACTGGCTCTGCTACCTACATTATGTCTCCTAGATCCTTATGACATTGAAAGGTATATAAGTCAATCACTGTCTTGCCTCTGCCCTCAACAACTGACCAGTCCTCTTCTTTTCTGGACAATGTCCTTTTCCTAATTACTCAAGCCTCCCATACAGAGTTAGAAGGAACATTTAATCTGATTTATAAAAGTAGAGTAAAACAAAATTCAAGTCATTTAGTCAGTAAACATTTGTTAAGTGCCTACTATGTTTGGGGCACTGTGCTAAGCCCTGGAGATACAAAGAAAGGTAAAAGACATTCACTTTCATTTACCTACTCAACCAACCACAAACTTTTCTCTGCCAACACAAAAGGGAGTGACCAATACAATTTACAACAGAGATAGCAGGGCGTGACTACAATCAGAACCACGGAGATGTAGTTGCCCCATCTTTACAGGAAATATTGCCTCTATATGGTGTGGAGGTCACTTTACTTTGTTACAAGAATTTTTCAGTCTGAGGCTTGTATGTTTTAACCTTTAACATCACTGCAACAGGAGAGCCAATGTGTCTAGGTAGAACAAATTCAGGAACCCATCAATCAATCCACAAACATTAATTAAGCATCTGAAAAGTGCTAAGTACTGTGCTAGGCCCCAAGGATACAAATATGAAGAATGAAACAGTCCCTACTCTGAAGTAGCATAGACTACTCTGTACTCTGAGCAGACCACAACTATAGAACTGAACTATCTCTGTGTAGTTGATTTGGTTGATTTGACTGACAGCAGTACCCCTAATCAATTGACCCTTAGATAATTTTTATTGTACTGAAGCTTCTGCCTCCCAAATTGGCTAACTCATCAACTTGGCTCACTGCCTAGTTCACCACCTACTCCTGGTTTCTCACTCAAGTCCAAAAAAGTAGTACTGCCTTACTATTAAAATCCTAACACAGAAAAATGGATGAGAGAAAGAGACAAAGACAGAGACAGAGACAGAGAGAGGAAGGTAGATGTGGATTGGCTCTGTCTCAAATACTCTGCTCCTCTAGAGGATACCACACTTCCCTGATACCTCTAGCTCCCTCCCTTTGTCCACCATGGATTCTCCTCTTGGCAAACCAGGAAAGTGAAAATGAAATTGGCAGAACAGAGAAAAATATATAATAATGTCTACAGTAACGTAAATAAAAACAACACTAAAATGTGGCTGAGCTCTGATTCCTTGTAATAACCAATCTCCAAAACAGGTGATTAAAAATACTTTCCTCCTCTTGGTAAAGAGGTAGGGGACTTTGGAATGGAGCAGATGATCAACTGTGGTGGAGTGGAAAGGGGTGGGGAAAAAGAGGAAAAGGAGAGAATAAATGATAAATGACTGTGGAGTAGAAACCAAAGATTATCAAGAATACTTTAATGATTTTTAAAAATAAAATTCATGTTATTAAAAAAAGACAACCTGGCCATAACAAGCAAGCAACAAGAGTATAGTCTGCCATTTTATTTACATAACCACCCAACAAGCTTTATCCTTACGGGGTCCAATGCTTCTCAAATTGTTACCACTTTTAAAGGTTTTGTCAGTGGCACAGCAGGGAACAACCAAACCATTAGAGGAACTGCTGGCTTCCAATCATCAAGTTCTTTCACTTCCATTATTTCATTCATTTGTTGCTTTTTCTTGTCCTTTTCAGAAAAAGGCAAGCTGCAGGAAGAACAGGTCGCATGTTGTATGACAGCACAATTTACCTGTACAACTACAGGGAGGCATCATGATGATGGGGAGAGAGCCCTGGAAATCAGAAGACTTGAGTCTGAGTTCCAGCTTTGCTACTTACTAGTGATTGTGACTCTGAGCAAGTCATTTTCACCTCTTAGAACCTCAGTTTCCACACCTATGAAATGGGGCTGGTAATACTTGGACTACAGTCAGGTTGCTGATCAGTGCAAATGATCAACCCCCTAAAGTGGTCCCATGAACTTGAATTCGCACTATTGGAGCAGGGCTGGCTGCTACTGCTTGGGTCCTCTTTGAATAGGTACCCTCACCATCCCATACATACAGTTTCATGGAGTCAGCTTCTAGATGTCAACTCTGTTCCTTATCAGACCCAGCCCTATATTACACTTCTGTGTACACTTCACATTCTGCACCACCACCACCCCCAATAGAATGTAAGTACTCAGAGGGCAAGGACTGGGTTTTTTTTTTCAAAGCTTTATGTTCCCAGTGACTAGTACATGGCCTTGCATACCATGCTTGCTTAATGAATACTGAATAGATGAATCTCAAATCTGTAAGCCCCCAAATCACCATATTTCCAGACTGCCTGCCAGTCACTTCTTCTTGGGTGTCATGCTGACACCGCAACCTTAAAAAAAAGATACCTGTGTCTTAAAAACTGACCCATTTTTCCCTTCCTCCATTTCTACCTCCTTCCCTCCCCCCAAAAAAAGCTCCTCCTCTTGTTTTTTCCTATTTTTTTGTGACAGAAATCTGCATTTAGGAATATCTCATTAAGTCAACATTCAAGCAGTTCTGAATTCATGTAACTGTACAATCATCTAAATTGTATTTTTCATAGAGTCACCATAAAAGAATGTAAAAAAAAAAAAAAGCAACTAGGTGGTGTAGTGGATAGAGCACCATGCCTGGACTCAGAAGGACTTAAGTTTAATGTGACCTCAGGCACTTATTAGCTGTGTGACCCTGGGCAAGTCACTTAACCCCAATTACCGAGGGGAAAAAAAAAGTCAGCTCTTTAAGGGCAGGGACTAACTCCTTTTTACCTCTGTACCTTCAGCATATGCCTCACATATAACATACAATTGATAGATGTTTGCTAAATTGAATTGAGTCTTTATCCTCAGTATCCAAACTCTCTCTGAAAGCACCAAGCCAGAATTTCCAACTATCTTCTGTAAATCCCCACACATACATTACACAAGAATTCCTACTCAACATGTCCAAAACTGAACTTAGCAGCATCTTGCCCACCATCTCCTATCCTCTCATGGGATCTGAGTTCTAATCTCAGTTCTAAAGAACACTGACCTTAGGGTCAGAGGATCACATCGCAACTCAGCCAGCTGTGTGACCTTCAAGAAGTCATTAAACCTCTCCCATCCTCAGTTTCCTCATCTGTCAAATGGGGGAGTGGTTGGATTAAATAACCTTTAAGATCCTTTCCATCTCTACAGCTATGATGCTGTGTAATAATGTAATTCATGCAATAATAATTCATGTAATAATAACAACAGCTATTATTTATATAGCACTTTAAGGCTTGCAAAGCACTTTACAAATAATATCTCACTTGATGCTCACAACTATCCTGGGAGATAAGTGCTATTATGATCCCCACTTTACAGATGAAGAAACTGAGGCAGGCAGTGATTAAGGGACTCGTCTACAGTCACACAACTAATAATTGTCTAAGAAGGCAGGAGTTGAATTCAGGTCTTCCTGATTCTAGGTTCAGCAGTTTATCCATTGTATCACCTAGCTTCCACTTGTCTTCAAAAATACTACTTCTCCTGAATTTTATATTTTTAATTAAAGACACTTCTAGTGACCTAGAATCAAAACCTCTGAAGCATCTTTGACTGTTCTTCCTCTCTAGGCAGTGTAGTACAATGGAAAGAATATTATGTTTGGAGTTGGATTCATGTCACCTTGTTGTTGTTCAGTCATGCCCAACTCTTTGTGTCCCCATTTGGGGTTTTCTTGGCAAAGCTACTGATGTGGTTTGTTATTCCTCCTCCATTTCATTTTGTTCTTTTTATTTTGGGGGGGGGGGCTAGGCAATGGGGTTAAGTGACTTGCCCAGGGTCACACAGCTAGTAAGTGTTATGTGTCTCAGTCTGGATTTGAACCCAGGTCCTCCTGAATCCAGGGTTGGTGCTCGATCCACTGCGCCACCTAGCTGCCCCCCTCCATCTCATTTTACAGCTGAGGAAACTGAGGCAAACCAAGTGAAGTGAGTTGTCCAGGGTGACACAGCTAGTAAGTTTCTGAGGCCAGATTTGTACTCAGTCCTGACTCCAGGGCTAGCCCTCTATCCACCGGGCCACCTACGTGTCACTAGCTGTCACAGTTGTCACAGCTGTCACCTTGTGGGACCTCGAGAAAATCACAACCTTTCTGGGCCTTGGTTTTCTCATTTATACCAGGACTAGATGACCTTTATGGTCCTTCCCAGTTTTAAATCTAGGATCCTAATTGATAAAGTGTTATAACGTAATCTTATCAATCTTTAAAATCAGTTTTTAATCTACCAAACTATATCTCATCACTAAGATTCAGTCATTTGGAAAAGTATCATCCCCAAAGTTTAACTGAAGATTTAGCAGGTGAATGTGGAATTGATGATAAAGCCTTACTAATAATATTATGTTTTACCCAACCAAAGCTTGATGAATCACAGGAGCATTAAATATGAGCTGAAAGAGATCTTATAGATCATTTGGTCCATTCCCCATATTTTACAGATGAGAAAATTGAATCCTTGAGAAGTGAAATGATTTACTTAAGGTCACACAGAATGGAAGAACTAGAATTTAAAAAATAAAAAACAGATCATCTAACTTAAAATTTAACACTTCTTTCATTATACCCCTCTGCCTTCGCAACAAAGATTGAAAAAATAAAAATCCATTGGGCAGATTCTGGGCATGCATCCTGATCTACCTACATAAATAATATAAAATAATGTAACAATACTCACTGATATTGTTTTGACAGAGGTTCCAGAGGAATAAATGTATCTACTTCCTTTACATATGGGACTCTGAAAACAATGAAAGGCAGCCATAAAATTAGCAAAGATTGGCACTGCACCCAGATCAACATTTGTTTTCACTGAAATAGAAATTCCTTTTATTCTGTTATAGGTGTTACTTTGTTGTATTTTTATAAATGTAACCCAGGGTTCCAGCCTGGTACATTTACGTAAGACAATCTTGATGGAGAGACTAATTGTTTGGTGCTCAGTGTTTCTTGAGGGGCTTGGGAGAAAAGAGATTTCTTCTTGCTTCTAGCACACAAGGTGGTTCTAGGCTGTCTTCAAGGAGGTGGAGAGACTTTGGGAAGGAGATATGTAGAGGAGCCTGGATCTCAATATGTCCCTGATTTCCAGCTTGCTAGACTAAAAATTGCTGAAAATTTCCCCTTGGATGAAGTAGGATATTCTCTCCCCCCCCCCCTTCTCTCTCTCTCTCATACACACACACACACACACACACACACACACACACACACACACACACATCTTACTCCTCATTCACTCTACACTGTCTGATATATTCTAATCTGTATAACTTCTCTGATTGCTGTTTGCAGTCTACTTGTATAAATTCACTACTCACCATTTGTGATGGTCTTCTTGTAACTACCATTTGGCATAAAGACAGCCAAGCCTTTGTACAGTCCTCTCCCCATTAAGGGATAGCGACCAGAAAAACAACTTAAACTTAAATCAATTCCCCCTAGACTAACCATATTTAAGGGAGTAGAAAGGTATAATTCTAGTCTGATGTCCCCACTTTGAGGAGAGCAGAACTGGTTAGCCTCAATGCTCCATTCTCCTGCTCCTCTCCAGGAATCAAAATTTCCCTTGGAGAAGAGTGAAAGAGATTCCAGAGATATCTCTTTATACCTCCCTGCAAACTGAATTTAGTCAAACCCATGTGGATATACACATAACCTACCTGGGCAAACACACACACACACACACACACACACACACACACACACACACACACACCTTACATAAACATCTTGAAATCATAAATAAAACAAAAACTTTTTTTAACAAAACCAGTATGCTGGTAAATGAAAAGAACAATGACCACATATGGAACATCGTACTAAATATCTGTTTTTTTAGGTGTTGGTTAGTTTTGCTAGACTAGTTTATTTCCCCTTTAGAATTCTTTGTCATAAGAAATGGCTGGGAATGGGGGTGGGGGTGTCAGGGAGGAGTATATTCGGAAATGTAAGGTAATATAAAGCCAAAAGCTATCAATGAAAAACATTTTTTAAAAGACACATACTGCCACACTTTTCCATGTTCTTCCAAATTTTTATAATTAATTTCCAATTTTTTTCACCTGTGATTAGCTAGCTCTCTTTACTCCAATGGATTTGGGCTCAAGCTAGAGCTCATGTTATTTGTAATGTAAATCAAAGGCCAATAATCTGAGTCTGTCTAGAAATTTAAGGGACTTGTGGGGCGGGGGGAGGGGGGGGAGGAAGGAAGAGACAGAGGTTGACCATGGGAACAAAGTAAATACACTTATTTATGTTCAAATGACAAGGATCCATTCATATATCTTCAGTGATATATTAATATGTTCCCAACATCCTTATTTCATGGAATCCTCAAAAATAGAAGGAACTTCAGAGGCATCTCTTCCAGTCCATAATTGAGCAGGGATCCCTCTACAACTTCCCTGACAAATGGTTACCCAGCTTCTGCTCTTCAGCAAAGAGGAACTCACTGTCTCCCAAAGGAACCCACTCCACTTTTGGCTAATGCTAGTTGTTAGGATTTTGATTGCTAATTGGACTTGATCAAAGTCAACATCTTTTTGATGGAATTTTTTTTTTTTTACCTCTTTTGGTCTCCTTGCCTCAAGTCTCTGGCCACTCCAGCCCATCCTCCACTCAGCTGTCAAATTGAGCATGATAAAATGAAGGTCGGACTTTAATGAACTAATATTCAATAAACTCCAGTGGCTCCCTATACCCCTCTGGGTCAAATATAAAATCTGTTTGTCATTCAAAGACCTTCCTGCCCTGGGCCTTACCTGTCTTTCTAGTCTTCTTACACCTTGCCTCCAGGTAGTCTCAGATCCAGTAACACTGGCCTGCTTGCTATTCCTTGAACAAGACATTCAAACTCCCGTCAAGATATTAAGAGACACCCTGTTTTCCAGAGCTAAGAGCCAGCAAGCAAGCCGAGCCCTGGGTATGCCATAACAGCAATCCTTTGCACTCGCCCTCTGATTGTCTCAGCCGCAGCAAAATCCCAGAATTGCTTCTGGTCATGAAGCCCTGCTGTGAATGAAACTTGTCACATTGTTGCTGTTACTCCTCATTGTCAGGGCTGCAGCTCACTGTGCAGCCATTAATATAAGTATTGAGATGTCCTCACATTATGCATAATTAATTTATAATGAATTTCCAATTTTTTCACCTGTGATTAGCTGGATCTCTTTACTCCAATGGATTTGGGCTCCCCACCAGATGTGGGGCTCCAGCATATGTGTCCTTGCCTGGGGTTTTCTTGGCAATGATACTGGATTGGTTTGTCATTTCCTTCTTCAGCTCATTTTATAAATGAAGAAACTGAGGCTTAACAGGGTTAAGTGACTTGCCCAGGGTCACACAGTAAATGCCTGAGGTAAGATTTGAACTCAGGTCTTCTTGACTTCAGGCTCAATGCGCTGTGCACTATATCACCTAGCTCCCCTGGCTTCCTTCAAGTCCCAGCGAAAGTCTCGCCTTGTATAAGAAGTGTTTCCTGGTTCCTCTTAAAACTAGTACCCTGCCTCTTTTGATTATCTCCCATGTATCCTGTCTATATCTTGTTTGTACCTAGTTGTTTGCATGTTATCTCCCCTTATTAGACAGTGACAGCTCTTTAAGAGTAGGGACTGTCCTTTGTCTATCTTTGTATTCCCAGAACTAAGCCCAGTGTCTGGCACATAGTAGGGTTTTAATAAATGCTTATTGACTGAAGTTTTGATGAGATTACCCCTTCTCTTAGTAGTTTTGTATTGACACCAACACAAGTCATTCCCCTATTCATAAAGGGGAATTCCTCTTGCCTCTAGGATCAAATACAAACTCCAGTGACTGGTTTTAAAAAAGCCCTCTATTCTGTCTCTATTTCACACACTCAGTGTTGCCACCAAAGAAGCCTATCAGTCATTCCCAATACACAAAATCCGGTCTCCTGCCTCAGTGATTTTGCATAGTCTTTTCCTCCAAGTCTGGAATGCACTCCCTCCTTCCTTTAGCTTCCTTCAAAGCCTAGCTCCAGTGCCCTTTCCTACATGAAGCCTATGTTGATAGCCACCACCACCCCAGTTACTAGTATCCTCCCCTGGAATTCACACTTTGTACATATTTTGTATTTAATTTTCTATTTAAATGCTGCTTTGCAGTAATAGACTAAGCTTCTAGAGGGCAGGGGCTGTTCATTTTTTGTCTATATAAAGCCAACCACTATTACCATCACCCCCACACACACCTAGCACATAGCTGACACAAAAAAGGCTTGTTGACAAGAATAAAAAAAGTTACCCAAATAAACCAAGCACTAAAGTACTAGGACTCACCTTGAAAAATTCACGGGTGGTACAGTGGCTCCATGTTTATAAAAGTCTGGACATTGCTCAGGATGTAAATATGTCTTGTCCCCTGGAATCAGTTCTGGGAGTCCATTCCTGAGATCAATGTCTATTAGTAATGTGCCCCAAATAAAATTACATAAAGGTTAGAGATAGGCCACTGGTCAGCTCAGAGAAATTGAATGCAAATTGAAAATGCAAAAACTGATATTTTTCCACCAGAAACAATAAAAATATATGAAGGTCATTGCTTCTCCCTTTCTTCTCTTCAAATGTCTTTTTAAGCAGGTAAAATTTTTAATGAGGATTCATCAGCAACAAATAGTAAAAAATATACTTAGATGTGCATGCTTGTAAGTACAGGAGGAGGATAAAAAGACATAACATAGGTTTTTCCCTCAAAGGGCTTACAATCTTAGTGGAGAAATTAATTTATACATGTATTCAACCAACATTTATTAAGCAATGCACTGTAATGAGAAATGGAACATATGTTTAGAATGATATATGACACAAAGTAACGTCATAAACTTCCAAGAGATATTACTCTCAGAACAAATATTAACTAATAAATATTTGTCAAATGTCAAATTATTAACTAATAAATATTTGTCAGATGAATGAATGAGTGTGAGTACTGCTAGATGAATGGTCAGAAAAGTTACACAGACTGTATCATAAGATGAGACGTGTGTTAGACCTAGCTCAAACCTGCCTGAGGTAGCTGATTGTTAAATTTTCAGTGTGAACTCAACCTCAGAAATCAACTAATGATACAAATCAAGGCCTGCTGTATTATTTTGTGAATTGCCTAGACTTAAGAAAGTGATAGGAGAAAACACTAATAATGCAACTAAACACAAAAGTATGTCATAGGTACTTCTTCTCCCCCCCCCCCCAAAAAAGCTAATTGTTAGACATTTACCAGCACACCCTGCACAGAGCTGGAAGGAACCTCAGAGACCAATTAATCCAACCCTTTTATTTTACAGATGAAGAAACTAGGGCCCAGAGGGGCTAAATGTCTTGTCCGAAGTCACACAGGGAGTAAGTGGCACAATTAGGATTTAAACTAATGTCCTCTGACTCTGACATCAAGTGCCTTCTCTACTGTATACATTGCTTCCCTAATGGTAGAACTAGGAGGAACCTTTGAGATTATCACTTCAACCCCTTCATTTTGCAGATGAAGAAACAAGCCCCAAGAGCTCAACTATGTGACCCAAAGACTAAGGTGTTTCTTTAAAAAATATTTTTTTCACATTCTACATCACCTACATATCCTTCCTTCCTCTTCCAGAAACTTATCTCTTATACCAATTGATACAAAAACAGAAAAAAAAAAAGAAAAAGAAAAAGAAAAAGTTTGGCAAAGCTAACCAATACACCAACTGAGTCTGGCATGATATGCAGCATATGCTCTGCACCTCTGCTGAGGAGGAGGGGAGGTGCTTTCTCAGGTCTTCTATGGGATCAAGTGTGGTTATTAAATTTGTCTTTCAAAAAAATTTATCAGCATTTTATTTTTACATTATCTTTATTTCCCATTGTGTTTCCCCACCCTTCAAGAGAGGAGATATGTGGTTCTCTTCCAGGAGAGGCCCCTAAGGGAAGAAAAAGACTCTGGGAACAAGCCAACATTTAGAAGACCTGGCACCTCAAATCATGTCCTTAGCTTATGACACTAGAGACCTTGGGGAATTTCTCCTTGAGTAAGATCTAGGATTCTCTCAGTTGAGCTGAGATACCTCTCTCTGAGCAGAAAGCTCATTCGCTCTTTGTATTATCTGTTACATTCTCATCTGTACCTTCTCTGATATCTGTTTGCAATCAGCTTAGATACATGAGTTTATTTGCTACTCACTACTTGTGGTCTTTGTGGGAGTCATTTGGTGAGAAGAGGAGTCAAACCCTGGATATATTGCTTGAGACACTCCTTCTGTGTTAAGGGATTGCAGCTTGAACATAAAAGTTATGTCCTCTAGCCTAACAATACTTAGAGAGGGCAGAGAGTTATAATTCTAGCCTGGTCCCTTTTTGGTGAGGAAAGCTCAATGGCCAGCCCCTGGCACCAATTTCCTGTTTCTCTCTTTCCTGGAATCAAAATTTCCCTTGGAGGAGGGTAGGGATAGGATGCTCTATTCATGCCTCCCTAGGAGGCATACCTAGACAGACCTACATGAACACACATAATTGACATGGGCAACACACACACGCACACACATACACCCTATGTATGTTAACAATTAATTATACACATAATATAAAATTATTATATATTATATAGCAATTAATAATTCATTTGTTTTGAACGCTGTCTCCTTTAGCCATAACCTTTTAACTTGGAGTCAATGAATTTGTCTTTCTAATATTTTGATAACTGAATTTCAATGCAATTGGTTTCCTTTGTTATTCTGTTATTTTATTTTTTGCATTTAAAAACATTATTCTGAGAAAAGGTCTGTGGGTAGGTTAAAAGCATCCATAAAAAAAAAAGTTAAGAACCTTTTCCCTAAGATGATGTTATCACTTCTAAGATAAGCAGTAAAAAAATAAAACAATCCAATAAAATGAAAATGCTAATGTCATGATGACAGGGTGGTCCAGTTTGATACCAGGAAACCAAACCACAGATGGAATCAATGCAAAGCTATGCCTACAGGGCTCCAAGTATGCTAAGCCCACCTACAGCCTCCCTATGGGCTAGGCACCATCTTTCCTTAATTAGTGCCCCAAATCCACTGACTAAATTTCTTTCCAACCTTTTCTTCCAATATTTCAAACTGCCTTTTAAGCTAGCCTTTGACTGTTTTAGACAGTGCCTCTAGAAAGAGCTAATCTCCCCTTCATATCCTGTGGCTTCTGTCTATTGATCAGTTGTGAGTTTCTGTTTGCCACAGGGATGGACTCTTATAAATGTAAAGTAAATCCTAAAAACAACTAAAATCTCTTTTAAGAGGAATAAAGAATACTAAGGACAGTTTCACTCCATACTTAACCGCTTGTTGCTACCAGGCAGAAAAAGCATTATACTCCCCCAGAGATAAATGGTTAGAAAAGTTCAACAGTTCATTCACAAAAGAATTGAAAAGTATTAATATGTTAATAATAACAGCACTACTGACCTAGTGGATTGACCACTAGGAAGATTCTTCTTCCTAAGTTCAAATCCAGTCTCAAGATACTTATTATCTGTATGACCCTGGGCAAGTCATTTAAGCCTGATTGCCTCAGTTTTCTCATATGCAAAAGTGAGCTATAGAAAGAAATGACAAACCACTCCATTATCTTTGCCAAGATAACCCCAAATGGGGTCATAAAGAGTTGGACACAACTGAACAACAATTAACTCAGGCTTAGATCTGTGGAAAGGAAAAAGCAATTTTAATGCCTGTAGCTAGTAGAACATAAGTGAAGTAGAAATACTTTTCTTTGGACTTCAGTAAGGTTTTCTATTAATACCCAACAAAAAAGCACACATATGTGATGATTTCAATGCCACATTACCATATTACAAAACTCAGAGGTAAGTAAAAATATGTCTCTACATATGTGCTGTGATTTCTAAACTGAAAGTAATACATATTGAGCCTGATTTTCTCCTTCATATAAAAGGGTAATGTTCCAGTAGACTGCCAACATGTCTATAATGGAATTTATCTTCTCCTCTCCTATGACCCACTCTTGCTCCCATCTTCCTTACTTCTGTTATAATACAGCTATTATCGAGTTCACCCAGTCTCAAAATCTCAGGGTCATCCCCACCCTAATGCAATCAATTCACCAAGTCTCACCAGTTCTACTTCTGTAAATCTCTTGCATATGTCCTCTCTTTTATTGCTTTTTTTTTTTCTTTTTCTTTTTGGCTAGGCAATGGGGTTAAGTGACTTGCCCAGGGTCACCTAGCTAGTAAGTGTCAAGTGTCTGAGGCCAGATTTAAACTCAGGTTCTCCTGACTCCAGGGCTGGTACTCTATCCACTATGCCACCTAGCTGCCCCTGCTTTTTTTTTTTTAATAGATGTAATCTTGTAGCTAACATCTTAGTGCTTTTATGGTCTGCAAAGCATTTAACAAATTTTATCTCATTTTATCCTCACAACAATATTGGGAGGTAAGTGCTATATTTTACAGTTGAGGAAACTGAGGCAAACATAGGTTAAGTGACTTGCCAGGGTCACATTGCTATGAAGTATATGAAGTTGGATTTGAACTCAGGTCTTTTTTTAACCCAAGTCTATTGCTCTATCCATGGCCCCTCCTACCTCCCTATAATTTCATCAGTACAGGTAAGGAATTTCCTGTAAAGCAGATTGTTACGTTCAGTGTAATTTATGGTATCAGAAAATTTCCTGGTTCACTAAGAGGTTAACCAAAGTACCAGAGCTGTAAGAGGCAGTCAGAACTCTAACTGAGGCCTTCCTGACTCTGAGGTCAGCTCCACTAGGCCATGTTGCCTCTCCTTCCCTGTCTAATTCCTACCATCCCCACTGTAATTCAGGTCATCGTCCTTTCCCTAGGCAACTGAAGTAACCTCCCAACTGGTCATCCTGCTACTAGTTTCCCTTCCTGGTCCTATCCATTTCAAACTTGACTGCTAGATTAATCTTTGTGCATAACAGCTCTCACCATGTTCCTCCCTACAAGCTCCCTGTTGCCTACCAAACTCCATGTTGGCAGGGCATGTAAGGCCCTCCACAAATTGGCCCCACCCTACTTTTCCAGCATTATCTTCCATGTACATAGTTGTTTTCATTTTATCTTCCCCCCATTAGACTATGAGCTCCTTAAGAGTGGGAAACATCCTTTGCCATTGTTTGTATCTCAAGCATTTAACATAGTATCTGGCAAAAAGTAGGTGCTTAATAAATGCTTATTGACTGATTACTAACCCTCATTCACAGCCTGACCTGGGCTAATCACCATTTGTCATGCCTTTGCTCATACCATTCTTATACCTAGAACCCCTCTTCCATCTCTGCCCTTTAAAATTCTCCCCATCTTTCAAGGCCCAGGCCTTCATCACATTTTATTTGTACCTCTTTTAAGCACTTATGACATTCTATTTTATATTATACTGATTTGTATACATAGCTTACCTTCTCTACTAAAGTATAAACTCCTTGAGGTCAGAAGTTCTGTCTTATGTTTATGTCACTCTTGGCATCTAGCATAGTCCTTTGTACATACTAGAAGGTTATTAAATTAAAGTGCTTTGATATTTGTACTTTTTTAATGGGGGGAGGTGGGAAGGAGGAGAAATATATTTTTTCTTCATTAAAAAATAAAATTCCATTGAGAAATAATTGAATTGCGTTGATTTGCAATGCCTTTCTATATGAAGCAGCATAGGGCTGGGAAGTAACATAGTTACTTTTAGCACGTAGAAAGTTCAGTACATCAAGGATTTAAGATTTCATCTACATAGATACTCATCTCACTGACACAGATTGCAACCCTCCTATTACTCAGTAGACAGTCTTCAAGAGTTATTATGCCCCAGAATGCACCCCTCACCCCCTCACCCCCTGGTCAACCTGGTGATGAACCTACCCAGACGTAGCTACGCTTGCAATAGTATGACAGACACACAGCCCAACATCACTCAGTCAGTCCACCTGGCATAGTGGAAAAAGCCCTGGCCTTGGCCTAGGTCTCAGGAAGACCCTAGTTCTAATCCTGCCCCAGACACTTACTAATTATATGGCCCTAGACAATTCCATAAACCTCTTTCAGCTGTGGTTTCCTCTTCTGTCAAATGAAGATAAAGAGCACCTATCTCACAGAAATGTTGTGAAGATCAAATGAGATAGAATATGTAAAATGCCTTGAAAACCTGAAAGCTGTTATTATTATCAACACGCCTATACTGACAGCCTTTCCAATTTGGTAGCACTTGCCAAAGCTTAAGGTTGCCTTCCAGGGTCTTCCTCCAGACTTACAAGGAAGTCTTCATTGGAGAAGGTACTGAAGAACTGAGAAAAACGGGGATGGGGGGAGGTATTACCGTATTTTTTTCTCCCAAAGCATTTGTCCAGTGTTATCTCTGTTGAACATCTCTGATAAGCACGAAAGACACCATTGAAATAACACTTTTTCCCCTTATGATAGGTATGAAGATGCCCATGTCTTGGATAAAAACTCCATTCTGCATCCTTTTGATCTTTGGAAAGACATAAGAAAATCCAGCTATAAGTAGTGCTTATGATATCATTCAATAATAAAAGAAAAAAAATTAAGAACTTTACTTCAATGGGCATTCTTAAATGTTCTCAATAGCTTATACAGCTTTAGCAAGGAAGGTGATTACTTTTTTTTGTCCTACGGCCAGATCCTTATAAGCTTTGAAGCACAGGAAGGGAGTAGGATTTGTTTTTGTCTTTGCTTCTGTAAATAACTGTGATGTAAAGACAAAAACATCTTTTAAAAGAAAGAGAGAAAGAAAGAGGTAGAGAAAAAGGAAGGAAGGGAGAGAGAGAGAGAGAAAGAGAGGGAGGGAGAGAGAAAGAGAGAGAAGAAAAATGGAAAGCCAAAAAAAAAGCCTTTTTATTTTTCCTTCTCACTTCAAACCAGCTACATGGCATGAAAGGATGCTCTGGAGTGGAAAAGGAAGCTGGGAATTCATCCTATACCAGGAGTTCTTTACCTGGGGGCCACAGACACACCCCCTCTCCCAAGCAGTCCATGGATAGATTTCAGGAGGTCCATGAATTAGGATATGGAAACATAACATTTTTACTGTAGTTATATTTTAAGTATTTATATATTATATTTATAATATCAATCTGGGAGGGGAAGACCCTCAAAGTTTCCGGCCAGAATTGAAAATAATTGCTATTAGGTCATCTTTTGTCTCAATTCCTACCTAGCCCTTAGTCATTGAAAGGGCATTAAGTCAGACAAACTGAGGCCTGGGGAAGACCTTAATTTAGAAAGACCAAGGTCATGTACAGCATCCAGAACCATCTACAGACTCTGAAGGAAAGAGTGAGGCTGACAACTCTGCCTCACTTAAATCCAGTTCATTCAGAAGTCAAGACATCACCTTTGTGATGTCATTGGTCCTTGAGAAAGAAGGATGAATAAAAACATTTATAACATTTATATTCATATAAACTTATAAAAATGTTTGTTCTATATTTTATATATAAATGCATAAATGTATTGTTATATTAGATTTCCATATTTATATGTAAATATATTTGGCACATTTACATATAAATACATGAATATGTATATAAGTATATAAATTTGCATCATATATTGATATGGTATAAATTTGTATATTATATGCTGATGTATAGTTTTTATTTGTGTATGAATATTATACAAATTAATGTTTTATATATTATATTGCATATAATATATACATTCATATTTAAATGTCATGTGCTTATATAATGTATAAATTATTTATTTTATCATAATTAGTTTTCTTTGTAATCCTATGTATTTTATTTTATAATTTTAAAACCATTCTTCTGGCTTTAGCAGAGGGGTCCATGACACACACAAAAAAGGTTAAGAACCCTTGTAATTGGTACCAGGGCTCTTTCCTCTTGAGCCAGTGCCAACTGCCACTCCAATAGCTGCTCATCAGCATTTTCATTTTGTCTTGTTTGGGGTTTTTATTTTAGGTTGGGTTTGGTTTTTTTTTTTGGAGAGGGGGTGGAAGGGGAGAATGTCAGGCAGGCCACAGATCCCACACAAGAACTCTCCTGACCACAGCTCCTCCCAGAGCCTACTCCTGCCGGGCACCTTCAGGGCACAGGCCCAGTCTTTGACTTCACTCACCAAGCAGGATGATTTCCTTTGGATATTCATTCTCTCTAACTTTTGTTACCAGAGCATCATCAATGACTTGCTTGGAAGGTGATGGGCAGGGCTGCAGCTTGCCATCCGCAGGAGGATGACCATAACAGGAGCATAAAAGATTCTGATCTGATTTTGTGCTGGGACCGATCCGGAGGCAGTGAGCTCTAATGGGAAATAAACTGGAGCTAATTAATTCATTCCATACTTAAGCAATGTGCCCAAAGATGTGCCCATCCCTATGACTGGAGTAAGGCCAAACTCTACCACTTAGTAACTTAATAATTATTCACATTTCTATAGCACTTCAAGGTTTATAAAGTGCTTCCCTTTCCCAGGGCCCATTCTAAGGATTACATTAGGACAATGCATACAAAAGTGAGATGTAATAGCAAATTAGTTTTTTTTAAATGGGTTATTTTCAATCATTTCATCAAGTATCTAATGACTATCTATATGTACTGTCAGTTATTTCAACCTTCTCTAGCCTCCTTCTCTCTCCTAGGATACTACCACTGCCCTGGGGCAGTCTCTTATCACCTCTCACCTGGACAATTGCAATATCGGATTAGTTGGTCTACCTTTCTTGGCTCTCCCCACTCCAGTCCATCCTCTACTCGGTTGTCAAATTGATTTTCCTCTAGTGACTCTCTCTCTCTTTCTCTGTCTGTCTGTCCTGTCTCTCTCTGTCTCTGTCTCCCTGTCTGTCTGTCTCTCTCTGTCTCTCTGTCTCTCTGACTCTCTCTGTCTCTCTCTCTCTCCCCCTCCCTCCATCCTCCCTCTCTCTTCCTCCTCTATCTGTCTCTTTCTCTGTCTCTGTCTGTCTGTCTCTCTCTCTTCCTGACTCCCTATCTCTCTCTTGGTCTCTGTCTGTCTCTGCATCTCTGTCTGTCTCTGTCTCTCTCTCTGTCTCTCTCTCCCCCCCTCCCTCTCTCCCTCTCTCTTTCTCTGTCTCATTCTCTGTCTCTGTCTGTCTCTGTCTCTGTCTCGCTCTGTCTCTCTCTCTTTCTCTCTTAGTTTTCTCATGTGTGAAATGAATGTGTTGAACTAATTGATTGCTAAATTTCCTCCTACCTGTAAATCCTATCATCCTTTTATTGTCACAGCATGTACTTTGGCAGACTGGAAATGAGGCAGCTAAGCAGGTGTGACTAAATCCAGAACTAATACAGATTAAACTGTTTGGCTAAAACCTTGGTCAATATTATCTTCTCATTTTAAGAAAATTAGAAGGAATACATAAACTTCTAACTTGCCTAACTTTTAAAAATCGTGATTCTTTTACCAAAGAACAGCCTCCTTTATTCAATTCTAGCCTTTCCAAAAAAGGAGAGCCATAACTTGGGTGAGGCAGTCACGGCTATGCCCAGGACACTAATAATAATTAATAATAATAATAATAACAACTATGTGCCAAGAACTATGTCCAGTACTTTATAAATACCATCTCATTTGATCCTCCCAACGACCCTGGGAGGTAGATATTATTATCATCTCTATTTTACAGTTGAGGAAACTAAGGCAAACAGATATTAAGTGTTAAAATTAAGCCCAGGGTCACACAGCTAATGTCTGAAGCCACGCTTGATCTCCAGTCTTCCTGACTCCAGGCCTAGTGCTCTGTCTACTTGCAATATCTAGCTGCCCAATTTAAAAGGCACAAAAATATATTATATCTAGAAACACCATAGTAATTTCCTTTTCCCTCATCAAATGACTTTATTTTAATCACTCTACTTATTGTTTTTTATATAATCAATTACAAAATTAATTTCAGGTTGGCTTTCCTATTGGCTCTCCCAAAAGAATCTCCCTACAGAAGTGTCCGTGAATATTTCTCTAATGAAAATAGAGTACTTATTTGCAGATGTCACTATTTTAGCTATTTAACTAAGTTTTCATGTGTGAGCTAGCCTGGTTTAGTAGACTTAAAATTAGAGACAGTTAGCTCTAACTCTTCCCCAAATAACTCTCCGGAAAGAACTTTCCAAATAAATATTTCCCTTTAATAGGAAGCACTTTATTTGGCAATATCAAAACCATCCAGGCGGAAACTGGCATAGTAAATATTGGTTTGGCTTTCTCTGATCCTTCCAACTGGAAATGGTCTCATCTTCATCTCATTTCCTAATTTTTTGCCCTCTTATGAAATTATCATATTCGGTATATAATAATTATCTGTCTACATGGCTTATCATTGCCTTCTATTAGATTAAATTCTACTTAGCTTTGTGTTGTGCCTCCCTCCCCACCCAATTTAGGATGCTTTAGCACAATTTAGTGCAGCCCATTTAGGGAGTATTACTAAACATTAATAAAAATCTGTTGAATTAGCTAATGTTTGAATAAATGAATGTTCAAGCTAGAGGAAACCTTAGAAATCACTTGGTCCAACTGCCTCATTTTATAGTTGAGAAAAATCAGTAAAATAACTTGACTTGCCCAAGGTCACATGGCCATTGAAAGAGGTAACATGTCAACTCTGTCCTCTTCAATAATAATTTAATCATTTCAATTCAATTTGAATGATAATTAACTAATAAGAGCTAGCATTTATATAGCCCTTTAAGGTTTGCAAAGTACTTTACTATGGTAACTGATTTGATCCTCAAAACAACCTAGCAAGGTAGGTGCTTTTATTTTATAGATGAGAAAACTGAGCTTAAGTGACTTGCCCAGGATCATACAGCCAGTAAGATTCTGCAGCAGGATGTGAACTTAGGTTTCCTTGTTTCTTTTTTTTTCTGCCAAAATAAGGTTTTATTTTGAAAAGCACTTAAAAGACACTGAGGAATAAGACATCAGGCTTCACATTGGCAGGTTTCAAAATTCACATTCTCTCCACCCAGAGTTAGTTGCCTTTTCTAGGCTTTAAGTTCAGGTTTTCTTGGCTACAAGTCCAATATTCTATCCACTGTATCACCTTGCTGACTCCACATTCAATGTGTGAGGTGTTATGCTCAGTATCAGGCATCATGAAATGACAGATGACCCATCCCATCTCTATGGATATAAGTAGCATCAGGATACTTAATCTTATTGTAGTTTTGGAGAGTTAGAATGTGGGAAGATGATCTAAGCCCTGAGTATTTGTGAAGAAATTTTGAGTCCTGTAGAGTATCATTATGGAAGCTGGGGATTAAGAAGGGCAAAGAACATCCACCAAGTACAGACTCTTGAAGCTTTGTCCTTGTGCATGTGGCTGGCATTCTAGGATACTATGTCAGGGTCTTTCTCAAAAAATACTAACCAATTGATCTTGAGGTAGAGAGAGAAAGTGAGAAAGTTCAAAGGAGAGCATGAATTAGTGCTGAGATGGAATAGGAGAGTGGATCCCTGTTTTTCAGTACTTCAGGTTCAGATTCCTCAATGGTTCTTGGATAGTCAGAGTCAGTACTAGCGCTGGCAAAGGTCAATATGTTCCCGTGAGCCTTCAAGACCAAAGAAAGTGACCAAAGAGAGTTTGTGCTTTGGGTCTCAGAGCTAATCCCCATGGGAGGGACCTCAACATTTTCTTTTTCCTTTTTTTTTTTTTTTTTTTGGCTAGGCAATGGGGTTAAGTGACTTGCCCAGGGTCACACAGCTAGTTAAGTGTCAAATATCTGAAGTCTGGTCCTCCTGACTTCAGGGCTGGTACTCTATCCACTGCACCCCCTAGCTGCCCCAGACCTCAGCATTTTCATGGGCTGTGGGGACAATCAGCCTTGGACAGATTTGGTATCTGAGATGATGCATTCTGAGTCACATAGTTACCAGAGGAAACAGAATGCTAAGGGAGAACCCAGGTGATCCAGAGCTTGGGGAGTACTTGAGAGTAATGTTTGTCAGACCCCTCTCAGTAATACATTCCACCTTCAGTATTCTCCAAAGCCATTATTTCTGCCCTCATTTCACTTTCCTCCCTTCCCACACCTTGATCCTAGTCAGGGGTGTGCTAGTAAATGTTTAACAATCGGCTCTCCAAAACCATATCACAACACACTGATAAAATTTATTCTGCATTATTAACAATGTCTCCATCACTATCTTAGGTCTACCAGGCGTGGGGAACCTGTGGCCTCAAGGCCACATGTGGACTGCTAGGTCCTTGGGTGTGGCCTTTTGACTGAATCCAAGTTTTACAGAACAAATCCTTTTATTAAGGGGATTTGTTCTGAGAAGTTTGGATTCAAATTAAATCTCAAAGTGCTATAGAAATAGTCTAGTCTCTAGACAATCAACAAACAATCAATCAGGCATTGATTTGTAAATTTGTTAATTTCCAAGGTGTAAAATGATCAGGATGAAAATTTACCAATTGGCTCTCAGTTCACGCTGCACCCAGATCACCCTTACCCTTATTACTCCACCTACTGCTACCACACCATCTCCACGGATAGAAGAGTAGCATAAGTAGGCATACCCTGATTCTAGCTTTTGAGAGTTGGGGTGAGTATGGGAAGCTGGTCCAACCCGTGGCACTGCCCCTTCTCCTCCTACCTCTGCCTTCTTTTCTGACTCTTACTAGCTTCCCTTCTTCCTCTTTCCCACTAATTTTGGCCTTTCTTCAAGCTCCTTTCCTGGTCCTCTTCTGTCTGTGTTCTGTCTCCTCTACTCTCATGGCTTCAACGACATGTAGATAGTTTAAATATATTTGATAAATATATTAAATATTAAAATACCTTCAATTTCCTTACCTCTAAAATGGGAAACATAATGCTTATGCTAGGTCAGGCCTGCACAATATGCAGCCCACGGGCCACTTGTGGCCTGCCAAAGGATTTCGGGCAGCCCATGAAAAATGTAGAGGATGTAAAAGATAGTAAAGATGTAACGAGTGCTTTGCCCGTGCCCCACTTAACCCGCCCTCTACTAGTCACTGTTGTGCCCATCATGTAACTTGGTGGGTGGGTTGCCACTGTGCACTCTCTCCTGTTTGCACGTGACCCATGGCAACCAACCATTGTCAGTCTGTCTCTAGTCTGAGAGGATCGAGAGTCATATCTTTTCACTGTGTTTTTGGTTGTTACTGGCATTGAACAGGGACAAAGTAAGTGCAGCAAAGTAATTTTTTTTTAACATATGATTTCATGATAAATAAAAATCTTAAGTAAAAAGTATAGTTAATTGATATCAATTGAAATCTCCCTTTTCTAAATATGGTTTATTTGCAAAATAATTTAATCATTAATCATACCTTTACTTAGAAAGTGAGCTGCTAAAAACCTATCTGTGACCCGAAGAAGTTTAACCTATTTTAATTTTGGCCCCTCCCTACTACCAAGTTGTGCAGGTCTGTGCTAGGTGTTGCACTGGATAGAGCACCAGGCCTGGAGTAAGGAAGACCTGAATTCAAATCTGGCCTCAGACACTTCCTAGCTGTGTGACCCTGGGCAAGTCACTTCACCCTGTTTGCCTCAGTTTCCTCATCTGTAAAGTGAGCTGGAGAAGGAAATGGCAAATCACTCCAGGATCTTTGCCAAAAAAAGGTCCCAAATGGAGTCACACAGAGTCTGACACGACTAAAACAACTGAACAACAATGCTTATGCTACCTAGCTCACAGGGATGTTGTGAGGAAGGTGCTCTGTAAATCTCAAAGTGCTATAGAAACAGGTTATCACTATGTAAAGGTAGGGATGTGCTGTAGCCAATTTCAACTGAATCAATTGTGCAATTTTCAGTGTGAGGATTTATATCACAGAAATTGGCAAACATTACAAATCAAGGCTTGATTTTTTGTTCTTGTTAATTGTCTTAACTTAAGAAAGTGATGGGGAAAATGTTAATAATGCATATTAAACTTAAAAGTGTGTAGTGGGTACATTTTTCTCCAAGAGCTAGTCATTAAACATTCACCAGCTCACCCATGTATGAATATGAGTTGCGTAAGCTATTCACTCTATTAGGCTAAAATGGGTCATAGATCTTTATCAGACTTAAGAAAGTGATGGGAAAAATGTTAATAATCATATTAAACTTAAAAGTGTGTAGTGGGTACATTTTATTTTCTAAGAGCCAGTTGTTAAACATTTACCAGCCCACCCTTGTATAAATATGAGCTGTTTAAGCTATTCGCTCTATTAGGCCAAACTGGTTCATAGACCTTTATCAGATTCTTACCCAATAGGAGCATCTCTTTTGAGGTGATACTGAAGACAGCGGGCACAAGCATCACATTCAGCAGCAGACAACAGAACAGGAAGTGGATTGACATCTACTGCACTAGGGCCGTGTTCCTCAGGCTCCAGACTGCCATCGCTGTCAGCACCTGCCACCATATAGTTCTAATCCTTTAATTACATTTTCAAAGAGAGCATTCTGTTCAGTATTTGAAGCTTGACTAACGTGTGAAGGGCCAAGATCTAATTACAAAATATATTTTGGCTTTCCTTTTTTTTCCTTTCATTGAACCACTTCTCAAAAGAGCAGCTTTCACTGCCTCTGAATAGCATGATAGATGGAGTGCTGGGATTTCAGAGTCAGGAAGACCTGAGTTCAAATCCTGACTTAGTAGGTATGTGACTTTGAGCAAGACACTTAGCATCTCTGTCTCAGCTTCCTCATCCCTAAGATGGGGATAATAATAGCACTGACCTCATAAAATAGTTGTGAGATTCAAATATAACTATATATACACATATATATTTGTTTATGTATGCACACATTTGTTGTTGTTCAGTCATTTCAATCATGTTTCACTCTCTGTAACCCCCATTTGGGGATTTCTTGGCAAAGATACTAGAGTATTTTGCCATTTCCTTCTCCAGCTCATTTTATAGAGGAGGAAACTGAGGCAAGCAGGGTGAAGTGATTTGCCCAGAGTCACACAGCCAGTAAATGTCTGAAGTTGGATTTGAACTCAGGTCTTCCTGACTCCAGGCCAGCTGCTTTATCCACTGCACCACCTACCTGCCCATGCATTTGTTTATTTATTTTTATATATATTTTATCTTCATATATTATATATCATACCAATATATTAAAAATCATTATATATCTATATGACTCAGCAGACCTTAGAGCACTATATAAATGTTAGCTATTGTTACTATTATCATCACAGTCCTCACTTCTATTTCTTCATGACTCTTCCATTCCTCACCCCCCCTCCCCACCCCACTATATCTATACTGAGGAGGCTCCCTCCAAGATTACAGACTTCTTCATGGGGAAATCCAAAGGCCTTTTCTCAGTCTTGAACCTTCCACTCTGATACTTATCTATCTTCTTTTAAATTTTCTCCTTGACTTTTTCTTTTTTAAAAAAAAAAAAGTGTGATTCTATCATTTCCCCTCCCCCCAAAAGAGCTCTCTCTTGTAACAAATACTGTCTTAACTTCTGTGGCACTGCACCTTCTTTTATCTCTCTGCCTTCTTTTCTGACTCTTTTACTAGCTTCTCTTCTTCCTCTTACCCACTAACTTTGATCTTTCTTCAGGCTCTTTCCAGGTCCTCTTCTCTCTATGTTCTGTCCTCTAGTGGACTCATCCATTCTCATGGTTCCTACTCTTTGGAGATGGTTTAAATGTATTTAAGAAAAGGCTGTTCAGGAGAGGCAGCATTGTGTACTGAGAATCAGAAGGACCTGGGTTGAAGTCCCCTTCTTCTGACACAGTTGTGTCAGAACAACTCACTTCACCTCTCAGTGCCCTGAGCAACTCTCTAAGGCTGGAAATTGTAGATAAGGCACCATAATGCATTCACAGATGGAGTTTCCTTTCTGGGTACCCCATATACCAATGAAATCACAGTTCCAGACCCCCCTAAAAATGTTCCTAATGACAACATAGTAGAAAGATGACTTTGAATCAGGTCCTTACTACTTGCTACCCATGTGATCATGATCAAGTCACATAGCATCTCTAAACCTCAGTTTCGTCCTCTGTAAAAATTTGACTTCCACTGTCTTTTTGGTTCTAAGGGACTATTACTCTACACCAGCTCGAGAGCTCTCTCCCAAGATTCAATACTAAATCCAAGATTCACATGGTAGCCTAAAATTGACTGATGGTGGGGATGAAGCATGGAAGGGCTTAAAGCTGGTAGATCAGTTAGAAAGCTTCTGCAGTAGTACAAATGACAGGCAATGGGGTCTTCTTAGAATAGTGGCAATGGGCATGGAAATGAAAAAATGGAATCAAGATGGCAGAATTTAAAAGTGAAAAGAATCATTGAATCCACCCCACTCATTTGACAGATGAGGAAAATGAGACACAGACTAAGTGAATTGTCAAGGGTCACATAGCTATTATCTGAGGTAGAAACCCAAGTCTTCCTGACTCCAAGTCCAGTGCCCTATCCACTATGCCGTAATGCCTCAGAAGAGATGCTAGGAAAGATGAAACCTTGGAACTGACTGGGCTGTGGCTGGGGTGAGAAAAATAAGAAATCAAGAATAATTCAAGATTTTGATCCTTAGAGACTTAGAAATGGATGCTATCATTGACAGAATTAGCAAAGTCAAGAGTGGCAGTTAATTGGGGAGGGGCAGGATATGTGAAGAAAATAACAAACTACTCCAGTATCTTTGCCAAGAAAACCCCATAGACAGTGTGGTCCACAGTGCCATGACGAGTTGGAAAGGAGTGAACAACAATAACAGGAGTGTGTAAGCAGGGAGCTTGGTTTTAGAGAGAATGCAGTTTAGTCAAAAGCAGGACATTCAGATGGAGAGGTGCAGGATGTAGCTGGAGATGTAAACAAGAAATAGATCAGGGCTTGAAGTACATATTTGGGATTCACCCCTCTCCGCATAAAGGGGTTAAGCTATGAGAGTAAATGTAATTTCTGAGGGCTTGAGCAAAAAGAAAGAAGGCTGAGGATTGAGCCGTGTCTATAGCTATATTTAGGTATCCAATTCAACTCTTTCCTTTTGGAGACTAGGTCTCCCTATCTCACCCACGCTAGAAGTGCAACCCCCATTGGTATCATGGACTCACAAGCCTGATCTTCTTGGGGGCTTACCATATTGGTGCCAAACTTACCATAGATACTTAATTGTTTTAGCCTACTGCAACTCAGAACTTTTGAACTCAAGAGATCCACCAGCTTCAGCCTTCCCCAAGTGGAAGGGATATATATTCACCACCACATCCAGTTCAATTTCTTTTAAAAAAATTATCAAGCACTTTCTGGCTGCAGAGAATGTACCAAAGATAACATATAGCTCTGTTAAGGAACTTAACATCTAATGTGCAGAAGGACTACGAATGCTCTTGCTTTAATTTTCTGAACTAAGAAGAATGACATATCATGCCTACCTCCTCCCCATCTCTCTTGGGCTGCTGCCTTAATGAATAAAGATACGCCAAAGTGACTAGATTCTGACCTTTTAACCCTAGATCTTGCAGAGCTAAGGCCAATAATTCAATTTTCCCTTTCCACTGATCAATAATAGAACAAAAATGCTACCCTGGGGAGATTCACATCGATCAACTAATCAACAAGCATTTATTAAGTACCTACTAAATATCAGTCACTGTGCTTCTAAAAATACTGATGTTCCAGAAGTGAGACAGTCTGTGTCCTCATTCATTCTACCTTGCATTCCATTCCATTGATAAATGTTCACAGATAAGTCAGTACAAGGTAAATAAATACACAGTGATGAAGGCAGATGGAAACACTGGAGGAAACAGGAAAGGCCTCCTGAAGAAGGAAGTATTTGAGCTGAGCCTTAAATGGAGCTGGTGGTTTCCCGGAGCAGGAGGTGACAAAAGAGAGCATTACAGGAATGGGGAAGAACCTGGGCAAAGACAGGAAGGTAAGAGATAGAATGTGAGCTACTGAGAACAGCAAATAGCACAGTTTTTCTGGATCACAGTATAAGAGGGAGTGTAATGTGCAATCGTCCTGGAAAGAAAGGTTACCTGCAGATTGTGAAGGATTTTAATGTCAAACAAAGGAGTTTTTGTTTTATGCCAGAGGCAGTAGGGAGCCACCAAAGCTTCTTGAGCAGGAAAGTGACATGATTATGTGGTTGTTCAGTCATATCTGACTCTTCATGACCACATGTCATTTGCCAGTCCTATCCATGGGGTTTTCTTAGCGAAAGATATTAGACAGGTTTGTCATTTCCTTATCCAATTATATCCACCCCAGTTAAGGTAAATAGAGGGTGATTTGCCCAGGGTTACACAGCTAGTAAGTATCTGAGGCTGTATTTGAATTCAGGTCTTCCTGACTGCAAGCCCAGCACTCTAACCACTAAGCCACCTACCTACCTGCCTCCAAGGTCACACAGCTAGTTAGTGTTTGCAGCCGGATTTGAACCCAGTCTTCTTGAATCCAGGCCCAGCATTCTAACTGCCCCAGGGACATGATTAGACCTGTGCCAAATATCCATTTGGCAGCCCTGTGGAGGATGGATTAGCAAGGAGAGAAGTCTCTCCGTTGAAGCCCACTCCCCACCTGCTTAGGCCAGAGTTCTATCTGATATGAGACCCAGGAAGGGTATAGCTGTCCTTATGCCTTCATTCTCAAGAAGTTAGAGGTGCACCCCCCTACAACCCTTATTTCCCTTAATAACCAGTTGTGGAATCTACCATCAATAAACTAATGAACCAATAAATATTTATTAAGCGCCTACTATGTTCCAGGCAATGTACTAAGTGCTGGAGTCCACATTAACCTATTGCTGACCTCTTCCCTAACACCCCTCATCCCCAACCAAGACCCCCACATTCCCCTTCATAGTTTTCCTACCATTCTCCTTCGCCCCCTCCACAACAACTGATCCGTTAGGCTCCATCACTTCATGGAGTCCGTGGAATCAAGAGACCTGAAGCTGCAGTTGGTAAAATACTCAGCCAGCCCAGTTTGAGGCTTGGAGGAAGGTGGAAACCCTGGGAAAACAAGAGACTTCCACGTTCCCCCTTCTTCGCGGAAGCAAGGCGGCATTCTCTGGTCTCTAGGTTACGGGAAGTACTAACTGCATTGTCAATATTGAGGGGGGAGCGTGGAGCATGGCAAGGACACCGGGCTCCTTCGCAAGGTATTTTCTCCTTTCCACTTGGAGTGGAAGCTCCTTTTGTCTCAGTTGGAATTGACCCTTTTGTTTTTGTTTTTCCCCAGCCTCCTTCCCAGCGTTTTGTCCTTTTCACATTTGTCCAGGTTTCTGTTCCCACTAGAGTGTGGTACAGTTTGAGGACGCCGCTTAAGAGAAAGAAAAAGAAGGAAAAACAAAAAAGGTTTGTAGGCTGGGCGATGGGATCTACTCAGAAAGAATAATTGGATTTTTCCTCCGCAAAATAAGAATGAGAAAACTATTTGTACTACCGCCTGATTCACACTATCTGTCGGTCATTGCGAGGACAGCCGGCACTTCATAACCCTAAAAGCTCTATTGGAGATTTTTTTTCATAATATTGCCATTTATTATTGTTCAATTAAATTCAGCAAACATTTAATGAGCACCTACTGTGTACAGAGTACTATGTGTTACATGCTGGGAATGCATAGACAAAAATGAAGCAGTCCCTGTTTATTCTGCAGCATCAAGTCAATTTTTTAAAAAAAATCTATTAAGCACTTACTGTATGCCAGATACCATTAGGCACCTAGGATACAAACACACACACGCACACACACACACACACACACACACACACAGAGTCTCTGCCCTCAAAGAGCTTACTACAGTCTCCTGAGTGAATCCATAGGGAGTATAAAGTACTTGAGTATTATTAATAATAAAGGACAATATAACTTCCAGGCTCTTCTCATTGCTCTGAAGTGCCCATAAAGTACAAGTTGGTGATTAAACCAGCTCAGAAATGACTCCCCCTGCCCATGGCAGTTCATGATAGTGATCCCATTATGACTTCATAGAGGCCTAATAGATAGCCTTCCATTGAAAGCTCCAGGGTCAGCTTCACTCTATTATGAGTCACTGGAAGAATGGAGTGAGAAAAAGCACCTCGATATTGAACTCCATCTACACAAATGGTTATCCAGGCTCTGCTTGAAGACTTCCACGATGGGGAGCTCGCTATCTTTAGAGGCAGCATGTTTCACTAGAAAGGCCACTGGATTGTAATCAGAAGGCCTCATTTCACTACATTACCTGTGTGTGATCTTGAACAAGTATTTCACTGCCCTAAGGCCTCAGTTTCCTCAACTATGAAATGAGCAGTTGGATTCAATGGCCTCTAAGCTTCCTTCCAGCTCTGAATCTATGATCCACTTTTTTTTTGGGGGGGGGGGTGAGGCAATCAGGGTTAAATGACTTGCCCAGGGTTGCACAGCTAGTAAGTGTCAAGTGTCTGAGGCCGAGTTTGAACTCAGCTCCTCCTGACTCCAAGGCCAGAACTCTATCCCCTGCGCCACCTAGCTGCCCCTATGATCCACTTTTGAATAGTCTGATTTGTTAGGGCACTTCCCCTCCCATCAAGCCAAAATCTACCACTTTATAATTTTGTTGAGATCAGACTGAAAGCATAGAATCAATCTCAGAGTTGGAAGGGACCTCAGAATTACATCCATACCCTTCCACGAGAGCTTAGACTTAAGGACCTCCAGTGTGAGGGGCCCTCTCAATACCAGAGGATCACTTTTGGGCAACTCTGATTATTGTTGTTCAGTCGTGTCCAACTTTTCGTGACCCCATTTGGGGTTTTCTTGGCAAAGATACTGGAGTGGTTTGCCATTTCCTTTTCTGGCTCATTTTACAGATGAGGAAACTGAGGCAAACAGGGTGAAGTGACTTGCCCAGGCTCACACAGCTAGTAAGTGTCTGAGACCAGATTTGAACTCAGGAAGACTCATCTTCCTCCAGGCCCAGCACTCTATCCACTGTGCCACTTAGCTACCCCTTTTGCTTATTAGGGGAAGGGAATAAGCATTTACATAGCTGTGCCTGGCACTGTGCTAAGTGTTTTACAAATATTATCTCATTTAATCCTCATAACAACTCTGGGAGATAGGTACTGTTATTATCCATGCTTTACAGTTGAGGAAACTGAGGCCGATTGAAGTTAAATGACTTGTCCAGGGTCATACAGCTAGTACACGTCAGAGCTGGATTTGAGCTCAGGTCTTCCTGATTCCAGACCCAGTGCTCTATCCACTGAGCCACCTAGCTGCTACTACTATTATTAATTTTTTTCCTTACGTGCCATAGAAATCTACCTTTCTGAGGACACCCAGGTTTCTCTACTCAGACTCCCAACGGAAAGTCTTAGTTTAAAACAAAACAAAAAAAAAAAAAAAAAGGAATCACACCAACAGATTAAAGCATTTAATTTATACACACGTAACACACTCAGAGTAAGGACTGGAGCTGAATGTAGATATAAGAAAGTAGGAAGAGATGAAGTTGAATAGACATGGTGGGATCAAGTGATCTGCACCATGAATTCCAAGCTAAAGGAATTCAGATCCTTGGAATAGAGGAGAAGAGGGAACAAGTATGTATTAAACACCTACTATGTGCTAGGTGCCTTGGTAAGTGCTTTACAAATATGATTTCATTTGATCCTCAAAACAACCTTGGAAGCGTCTCCTCTCTAGTTTCCTTGTCTGCAAACCATCCTGCATGCCATTGACATAGTCATCCTATGTCATCCATAGTCTGACCTTTCCAAAATAATTGTCATCGTAAATTTTTAATACCCACCTCAACAAATGCAAATGAGCAAAACAAGAACTAAAATCCTAAAATTAACTATTTACATTATTTTTAAAAGTATAAAGTAACCACGTATTCTGTCCTTTTCCCCTTTGTTCAGTGTTGTTCCTCTCATTTTTAATTTATTCCTAATTAGTACAGATCAGGGGTCAGGAACCTGCGGCCTTCTAGGTCCTCAAGTATGGCCCTTTGACTGAATCCAAACTTCACAGAACAAATCCTTTTAATAAAAGGAATTCTGTAGCTTTCTTGACTTTTTCCTTGCTTTAAGTCTTTCCTTTTTCTCTTTCATCATTTTTATGGTGCAATCATACTCCATTACACTGATATTCTCAAATACTCAGATGAAGCCATGATTTCAGTAATGGGGATCTTCCTCCCAAGGATGCAAATGTCATCACATCCATATTTGTCTGTCCTGTGTGACTCCTCTCTAGATCCTCCCATAAGTTTGTCTAACGATCTACAAAGTGGGGAGATCCATCTTATGTATGGGAGACCTTCTTTGATTTTTCCCAACATGGAGAGGATGCAATGGAGAACACCACTGTCTACCAGTTTTCCCTACACTCTTGTCTCATCACTAATCCTTTTCTGTTCATAAGACCCTGATATGCTTTTATCATTATTATTATTATTATTATTATTATTACTATTATTACCACCACATAGTACTTTAAGTTTTACGAAGTGATTTACATGTGCTGTTTCATTAGATTCTTGCGACAACCCTGTGAGGTAAGTACAATTATTATCCCTATACTTAGAGAGGTTAAGTGACTTGCCCAGAGTCACACAGATATTAAGTGTCTAGGCAGGATCTGAACTCAAGCCTTCTTGACTCCAAGTCCAGTATTCTCTATCCATTGCATCCCCTAGCTACCTCTAGGCAGCTCAATTTTGGAACAAAATGAGACACTAATTGGTCATTTAACAGTTAATAAAAGGAGATTCACTTAGCCACATCAAGAGAAGGCTATTCAACAAAGATGTGCTTTGAGAACACCCCTGGTTGATCCAGTTGAGAAAACTTCCCTGCCAGAGTTGCCCATCACTGCTTGCCAAACATCATTGCTGGAGCTCCTTGTGACTGTTTTTTACTTAGTCATCAAGGAAATGATGTCCACAACCTGGGCCATTAGTCTCCTGAACCAGTCAAGTCTAAAGGATGGTTTCAATTCCTTTTAAGGAAAAACCAGACTAACTTGCATGGAGGCAGGGTTAGGTTACTGCTTCTATCACATACCTCTATCAGGAAAAAAAATGAACACATATCCCCAATGTTTAGCTTTACTTTTTTTTATAAAATATGTACAAATGCTGATAATTATGGACACTATAAAACTTATACAAAAAAACCCAGAAATTAAATAAGGATTAGATAAAGATTAAATCATATCTTAAGGTACTCTTGATAGGGAGTTTATTGAGTGGGAAAGTGACATGGTCAGACCTGAATCACTTTGGTGACTTTATGGAAGATAGATTGCAAAGAGGAGAAACTTCGAAGCAGGGAAACCAATTAGGAAGCCATTGTAATAGTTCAGGAGAGGTGATGAGGCCTGAACTGGGGTGGTGGTCATGAGAGTAAAAAGGAGGAGAGAGTTGCAAGAGGTAGAAACAAGTTTTGGTGACCAACTGGATATACAGGATGAGATAAAGATAATACCAAGGTTGTAAACCTGCATGACTAGAAGAAAGATGACACCCAAAACAGAAATAAGGAAGTGCAGAAAAGGGATGAGTTTGAGAGTGAAAGATAAAGTTATCACAAACCATCCATGCTGGTTCATCCTGTGCCATTCTCTCATTCCCATGGTGGCAGGAGGGCGTGTAGGGGAAGCTTTCTCACTAGCCACTGTCCCATAACACAAAGCCCCTTTCCCTCTTAAGGACGTCACCTCAAAATTATTTTAAATTTATTTCTCTGATTACTAGAAAGTTTGGGCAATTTTTCAAGTGATTAGTAACAATTGCCTTCAGCAATTGTTTGTTCATATCCTTTAACCACTGAAGAATTAATATTTAAGTTTGTATAATAACTCCTCTCAGCTTCTTCAGTAATTTCTGCACACACAAGTAGGGGAGGTCCCAGAGGGCAGTTGACTACTTTTCCCTTCAGGAGTCACTCAGGAGCCACTATGTGACATGCTCCCTTATCAATCAACCTGTTGACATCAATTAGCTTTAGCAGAAGGTATTTACTGAGAAAGTAAAATTATAATAGTTGTTACAAAACAAACCTCCCAAAG